AGGGGGGTGGCTGTTGGGGGGGACGTCTCCGGCGAGCCATGGGAAGGGCAGGAGAGCGGGATGCCTTTTGGGGTTTTCAGCCCCAGAGGGGGCTTGGTAAGAGGAGCTGAGGGTCCAGTCGCCTCTGTTTGCAGCTGATCCGATCCAGCGTATAGGTGGTAGCAGAGGCTGAACACACTCAGTTGTGTTAAAAACTGCCCTCCCAGCTTTTATCTCTGCCGTTTGACATATCAGACCCTGTGGAGCTGAGGGCAGCACTGCGCAAACACCATATAACGGCATCGCCTATATAGCCTACCGTTACCCCCTCTATTTATTTCTTTTCCACCCAAATAACATTAGGGTTAGAGCGTGGTTTCATGCTTAAGGACAAAACTGCAGCTTTCCAAAGGAAATAGCAGAAAAAGAAGAAGAAATGCAAATGATTAGGCAAAAATTAAGAAGATAGAGAGGGGAAAGAGACGCCAGAGAGATCACAGGTGCCTTCCTCCCACCGTCGATCATGTCTCCTTTGGAAACGCTGCTCCTTTATTCATTCATGACCAGCAAGGGAAATCTGCAGACCTGGAGCAGCCAAGCCTGCACCTAACTCTACACTGTGGGGCTATTCATATGTTAAAGATAAACCCTGGTAAGCTCTGTGTTAGCTTAAAATGAACAGAGATCTTGTTACGTTGCATGGTAGAGACGGAGGCATGATTCAAGAGACTAAACATCGGCATCGAGCTCCATCGGATATACCCCTGGGTATTTGTCACACGGCTTTCCACCTAAACCCTGGCTCCTGCTACTGCAAAAATATTTACATGGATAGCGCAGAATCAAAACAGTGAGATATGAGACAGTTACTGCAGTTGCTACAGTTACTGACCCAGGTTTAATCCCTAACGCGAGAGCAGGGTGCAGAGCTCATTCGCAGGTCGACTGGATCCATTTGGCACAGAGGTGTTTGTTACTTATAAAATTATTTGAGCTCCTCTAAATAGGGATTTTTTTTTTTTTAATCCAAACCACTTTGCTTCGCCTTTTCTGAATTAAAGTTTTCAAATCTTTTTGAGTAAATAACATCAAGGGGCCAAATCTACATTAAGTTTCACTTTAAAATAGTAACATCCCCTGAAATACCTGTGTGTTTTGATCTAATGGAACGTTTCGCTCTGAACTGATTCAAGGTTGGACATGACTTCGTTTGACAACAAACAGAAACAAATTTCCCCCGGGGCTTGACTGCTGCTAGTTTTCAGTTTACTTTTTTTTCCTGTATTTTTCCCATTTCTTGCTTCTGGGCCGGACAGCTAAAGGGAAACGGGATATTCTGCGTGGTGAACGCAGAACCTCTCGGAAGTTTTGAGCCGGGCTGAGATTCCCAGAGCATAGGAAAACCAGGAAAACGAGGCATCAAGCACCTCTCTGGAGCTGGAGAAACAGGGAAAAAGCTACTGAGTGGAACGCCGTCCTGCAGGTTTTACAGATCTTCATTTTTTCTTCCTCTCTGCCGCCCAGGCCTGGTGTCCTCTGACAAGGAGAGCGCGTCCCACGTGCTGCGGCGGCCCGAGGGGGGCAACGC